AAACAAAACCATTTTATTTGTGTAGTACTGCCTGAGAATATTATTTAAGAATGATTTCAATTGCCAAATGGTTAAGTTCGGATTAAAAATGCATGCAAGAGGCTAACAAGTTTGACAATGTATATGTTGATTTATTGGAAGCAGTCCCTGGGCTTACATTTTTCATCTGTGTTATTTTGTAATTACCTGTAGTAATATTTGAATCATTTCAATTTTAAAACATACTAAAATGTCACGAAATTACAGACTCAATAATCTTTTTGATTAGTACAAATATAATTAGAACATTCCAGTTACAATTTAAATTTCAATAAATGTCGTGTGCCTTTGAAAGTGCTCTTTACTAATATCGTTTTGCATGTATTACCTTATTTTTCTAAAATTCTGACATGCAGCTATGACAAGATTATTTAAGCTCTTGTCTAAGACAGAATTGAACATAAACAGTAAACAAAGTTGACAGTCCTGAAAAGAAGAAATAATGATCCCCTGCTCTCCTGAATAGTTCTGATGGCATAAATCTCCCATTTCATCTTCAAGGTAGATACTTGTAGTTAGTGGAGTTTGAGGGGGAAAATTTATTATCCACATAAAATATCTCTGTGGCAGAAATGTGCAGTTCTTTTTTCCTTTTGATTCTGAGTCTTCTATTGGGAGGGAAAAAAATGCACTGTGATTTTTGAGTACAGCACAAGGCATGAAGCCCCTGTCATTGTTAAGATAAAGAAGACATCTATACAAGTATTACTGTGCAGAGGGCGATCTTTCTGTCTCTGGCATTTGTTAGGTTACCGTACATAAAATTTAACAGATAAATATGTTCTGCTCTGTGGCATTTTAGTGATCCTATTGGTATGCAGGCTACTCTGCTAAGATAGCAACAGGGAAAAAAAAAGATATATGTTTTATAGCAGTGGGTAATAAAAGCCCTTCACAGTGAACGACGAAGAATTTGACTTATTTCTTATGCAGTAATTAGAATTTCTTTAAAACTCTTTGAAATACTACTGAGTTGTAAAGTAAATGGAGGAGCCCCAGGAAGAACTAATTGAATTTATCTATTTAAGCCATGTAGTTGTCCATGAATATCTCCTCAGCTACCGTCACTGAAGTATCCTATTCAGACTTCAGCTTCATAGGGAGAGAAAGGATTCTCCACTGATGATGAAGGGTGATTCTTTTCTATTCAAAATGAGTTGGAGTAGAGCACTGTAACCAGGAGAAAGCTTAACAGACGGAAAGGTGTGTGGGATTGCCTGGCTGGGTGAACTTGAGACTAGTATGAAACTGAAGGATGCCCTTTCAGAACAAAGGGATGCCATGCAATACTCTGTCAACAGGCACGCTGGGCACAGACAAAGCAAGTGGCCAGGAAGATCTTTTGGGGACAGAGAAAATGTGGACTACCAGGTATTCTATTGGCAATCAAATTACCACGATTTGGTGGGCTTGTAGACCCTTCCCCCTGGAACCTCAACATCATTTCATTGAGTTATTTCCAAAGCACACATTTTATAGCTGCACACATTGGTTTGCAAACCTCAGAAAACTCTAAGACCTAACTTGTGGGCCTGTAGTTAGGTTTTACTATGCATCCTAAATAAAATGGTCCTGGCCTTCAATTCCCATGGGTTTCTTTTGCTTCATGTGTAAACTTGCAGTTCCTCTAGTAACTCATTCAAGCAACTGTTCAGGATAAGTTACATTTACTCCATTTTACTGTGCCCTGCAGCAGAATCTGTAGAACTGGTAAACCTTGTTATTCCCACCTGGCTCTTTTCTGCTGGTTTTACTGAGTACAGTTAAAAAGATAAATTATCATCTTAAAAGGATGCTATGGCGGTTGTTAATAAGTTGTCTGTAACTTCAAGACTATTCAGTGAGCAGGGCCACAGGGGCTTGCTACCTTGCTAGAGAGAAAATGATGCGCTTCATGGCAGACATACAATGCCCATCTCATGTAGAGACTTTCAAAATTTCTCAGAAAGGGTTCTATCATACTGTGAGTGTTTTCTAAACCTTGGAAGGTCCTGTTGTGCATGGGTGACACTGATGTGACATTGAAACCTCATCAGATACTTCCTGTTTTTTTCTGTATTAATTTGACTCTGCACAAGAGCACTATGGGATCAATGGGACCATCATCTACGTGTCTTAGATAGGGACACTGAGGTACAAAAAAGTTAATTAACTCAGCTATAGTAACACAGTTGTATCAGAACTGGGATTTGAGCCCAGGTAGTTGGTTACTGGCTTTGAAACACCATGCAATAATGCCTTCCCAGATAATTAGCTCAATGACTACGTATAGTAAGGACATTTCCCTCAGTCCTGCAATGGCAAATTATTTCATTTACCCAATTATTACCTTGATTTAGATACCTGATTTTGACTTTCATAGCTTTTCATCTCAAATTGCATTAACATGAGAGTACAGGTTTTTTTTAAAGTTTTTCATTTAAGGCATGCCAGGAACGGTTACTCTTATAAAACATTTGTCTTTTACCTCAAGGAGTTAAGAACTAAATCTGCTCTATAATTGACTGACTTGTCTACTGACAGCCTTTGAAACACTACCACTCCCCAATTTTTTTTCTAAGGAACAAGATTGACATCTCTTTATACGTTTGGAATTCTTCAGTGGTGTAAAGTGCTTGGTAATGATGAAAATTAACCTGAGGCTTTATCTAACTACTTTTCCAAGCAACTCTATTGAAAGTTCTGATAACAATTAAAAATTTTGCTGCAAACACATCACATCAGAAAAAATATGTATTCTTCTGTCTTGTCCCACCTTTCTTCAACCCTTCTTGGGGGGGTGAAAGGTGACCCCTTCCTTACCTTTCTTGGAACTGGGAACATCTGTATGAAAATTTTTCCAGATGAAACCTACTAGCATGTTAGAAAAGTAAATAATGAACATAAAGTAGCCATGGGGCTTTAAATGGTATAACCAAAACACTGAACATAATCATCTATTCATATCCCGGGGGTTGTTACCTCCTTCAGCAGCAGTAAGGAAAAACAGCTCCTTACAGGGACACGTTGGTGGCCTTAGCTCTTTCTGTTTATTTGGGGTGGCGTGGAACGTCTCCCACTGTTTTTCCTCCCAGTATGAGAAGATGAACTGTTATACAAGTAACCCATGGGAATCGGATTTAAAGATTGTGTTTGTTTGACCTGTGGATATCAGATAGTCAATGTAAACAAACATCTGAACGGCATCAACACATAATCAAGTGGCAGAAATGGGGAGAACATGGGTCAGTGGCAATTCCGCAAGCTGTACATTTCTCAAGGAACGAAGAGAAAACAATTTTGATGCCATTCTGTGATACCAGCATTCTTTTTAGATCTTATTCGAAGTATCAAGCAGATGGGCTGCCCTATATATCCAAAACCGCTATCTGCTGGCAGGCAGAAAGCCCAAGAACATATCCTTAGAGTTATTTTAATACATCAGTTTTGCCAGGATTAGCTAAATTAGATGTTGACCACTGGGACAGGAAAGGTTGGGACTGGATTTAAATTGAACTTGCCCTACCATCATTGTTTAGTGAGTTCCTTAATCTGCGGGACACTGCTTCTAGATTTTATTTACCACTCCTCCACGGAGAGCATTGCCTTAACAGGAGACAGAGTGGCTGGCAGGACAAATGATGGTAGAGAGGAGCTGTGTGATGAAGGAAGCATTCAAAAGGGTTAAAACTGACCAAATACCACTGGACAAATGTGCCTCTCATTGCTAAATTCTGCAACGCATAATTGAATCACCTACCTAATAAAAAGGTGTCAATTTCTTCAATTTAAAAAGTCAGCTCTGAAGGTTTTTCTCACTGAGGATGCTTCGTAAAACTGTTCAAATGACCTAATTCTCAAGTGTAGTCACAGTCAGGTCAAAGTGACAATTCCCAATACACCGAAGCTCAGAACTTCATTAGCTAATGAAATGTACAGTATGGAAAGAAAAGTCAAAATGTATAATAATCTTTAAAGCAGAACTTTAAAGTCTCTTTGGTTGCTATGGTTGTTGTTATAGTTATAATTCATGTATACTTTATCAGTCTTCTGAAAATCATATGTCTTTCCACAATCCAGATCTCCTTGCATGATCACAGTGATAGTAGTTTATACTGCACAAGTCAATCTCTAATTGTATTATTTTCTGTTGTTTTAGGGTTATACCTTGAATCCCAAGTGGCTTGTAAATTGCTTAAGGATAAAAATCATATTTAATCTGTCTCCTAAGCAGATTTGGTTTCTGAGCTAAATGACAGCTGCTATCTGACTAATATTTGAATGACTAATTGATTTGCAAATGCGGTTAGATTAGTTTATATAATTTTAAAATTTTGCTTCAGTAGCAATAAGAGAAATAGTCAATGGTTCAACCTGCTTCTTGAGATCTAGCTGTGCTCCAGCACTTGACCTTATGCTCTGAAATAATGTGAAGGTTTACATGTACTCAACTAGGAAAAAATAGCAAAAGGAAAAGAAATCACACCAGTGCGTAAAATGATCTATATGACAGCTTCTCATTTTGCAAGTTAAAGAGAGAAGCAATGCTGAGCAAATGAAGCAAAAAGATCAGAAGAAAACGGGAAACGAATAAAACAAAATGTAGAAATACAGAAGAAAGTAGAAAGAGGAGAAGGAGCAAGAACTTTAGAAAGAGCAAAGGAGGGTTTTTATTGTCAAGAATTCAGACTCGACCTTTATTAACCACAGTTTATAGCTTTTTAACTTTTATCACGAAATCTCCATATACTTTAAATAGAATAGAAATAGTAACTCATCATAAAGAGCAATTATTCTTAGCCTTATTAAAGCTCTAACTCCCTGGCATTGAATGCGATGAGTTGGTGTCCTTAAATAGAAATAAAAACAAAGAGGATGTAAGCTGGCTTTGAAAGCAACCTTGGCATAGTCACTCCTATAAGAAACCCGTCAAGAGAAGGTAAAATCAGTTTCTAAGAGAAATATGGCAAATCCGGTCTTACCAGGCCCATCTCCCAAGCAGCGGGGCGATGGAGGACCGTCCACGGGGCAGCGCCAGGGGTCCAAGGATGGGCAGCCCGTGTGCTCCTGGGGGAAGCTGACATGAAAAGAATAAAATGCAGCCTCAGGAAGCAGCCAGGAAGAGCAAGCCAGGACACACAGTTAGGGTCCACATAGCTGGGCTGGGCAGAGCTTTCTGTTCCTTTCTGGAAGCTGCAGCCCAGGGGACACAAAAAGCCCCAGCATCCCTGAAAGATTCAGGGCAGGTAAAGGAAGTAACTGCCGATTTCCCCACCCACTGTGGTACTCTAACCTCCTGCTACTGGCATTCTGTTTTCTTGGTCTCAGTCATTTCAGTTTTTGGCCTTTAGCTACGGAGGTGTTAAGGACTATTTGTGAAATCCTTGTGATTAGTCGGTGAAAAGCCATTACATACTGGCCATTGGGATTTTATTGGATTCAGAGAGTGGCACAACAGCCTGCAGGTGACTGGATGCTTATTTCTAATTAATGTAAGGGATACCTGACCGTGGTTTAAAGTCCCACATCCTTGACAGGAGTCATGGAGGAGAGGAGGGAGGGGCACAGGAGTCTAAACTCTGTGAACTGAGATAGGAAGCCTAAGGAAACACAGAGGATGCTGGCTTCAGACACAGACCTGAATTGGATTCGTACTATCGGGAATATTATTTCATCTCCTTGAGCCTTAGCTTCCTTCTCTGTAAAATGGAAATTAAAAACACACACTTCTCGGTTTTACAGTAAAGAAATGAACTATCTACTCTCTGCCCAAACCAGTGCTGAGCCCCAAGAAGACACTCCACAGTACCCTTCTATCCTTATACTGGTTTCTGCCCGAAATTAACTTTATGTCACCTTCAACCCCTCTCATTGGCATACAAATTTAGATGTTTCAGGCTTCATTTTATTTGTACCTAAGATCTTTATGGAGTGATCCTAACCTCCTACTAACACAGAATCCAAGGATAGTAACACTTAAAATTCTTAGGTCTTCTCGTTCTTCTCCTAAGCAGTGAGACAGCTGACAGCCATGAATAACATATCCTTAAAGTGCTTCCTTTTCTGGGGGTCACATTTATAATTTTCATTAAAATTAATATTTCCACCTAACTCTGCTTCCTAAGTCTTGATTTAATATCCCGAAGGCATCAACTCTGAGACTGACCAGCATGTGTTAATGTCTATGTCTCTTAAAATAGCAAACCAGTCCCTGCTCCCAGGCACGAGGGGATAGGCACCATCTCTTCGGCTTGCTTGGTTTCCTTCTGAGAGTTACATATGTGCTGACCGTGATGTGTTTCTAGGACATAAAGTCAAAAAACAGACTGACAACTCTTGAAAAAGTTGACAGCCAATGAGGCACATGTGACATTCAACCTAAGAAGACTCTTCGACTCCAGCTTCCTGCACATGTACATGTGTGTGCATGAGTGTGTGCACATGTGTGTTCTTGTGTGTGTGTGAGGAGCACAGAATATGTCAGAAGAAAGGTTTTATCAAGACATGGGAAAACCAGGAGGACATTTCGCAGCACGATAGCATGTTTCTGACTTCTCTGAAGCTGTGTAAATGAATTCCTTAAACACAGACTACCATTGATTTCTCCCGATGTTCACAGATCTCCTGGTCAGTGCTTCACGTACGTGTTCTCCCAAAGCACATCATACTGTGTTTCTGTGCTTCAGACCCTGTCCCCAATCCATTCTATCATTAAAACCTATTTAATTTCCTATGGAAGATTATATTAAGTGCACTTTCAGTGTAATTATGTCAATGGTGGAGGATAAACATGTATTAGTCAGTGTGAAATGCTGATTATCTGTCAGGGTAAATCTGTTTATTTCAGATAGAGCAATCTGACAACCTCTGACATTAATCATGAAAGTACAAGCTTGTGCCAGGTGAGGGTCTGAAAGTGAAATGTCTTAGATGGCTTGCTGGTTTGTCATGATCTCTGTCAACGGTAACCCACATGCCTGTATCTATGTAGCAATACAGACTGTGGATGTGTGTCCTAAACATGTGTAACATAGTTGCATTTTAGTATTTTTGCACATAAAGCAAACTAAGTAAAATTTAAGAAGCAATGGTTTTCATTCATTTTTTAGTAATGACTGCACGTGCCCGAATGGCCTGAGAAGGGGAGCGTGTAACACAGGGTTAAGCTACATTTTAGTCTGTGTGTGGGGCTAAGTTAATCCGCAGTCCTACTTACAGGGAACTGTTGCTGTGACTTCACAGAAAAAAGAAGAGTCAGCAGGGGAAAGAGAATCAGAGACATAGGGCTGCTACTGCGTGGTCATCTAATTCTCCACACAAACACACTTCTCTTCTTCTGAGTTTTTTCCTTGAGATAGTAGTTTCTAAATATATCCTAGAAACACTGCTGACGGCCAGCTGCTATTGGGCATGAAGTTCCTTTTAATGAGATAAAATAGTATCAGGAAGTCAACATGCCACGCGTGCTGGAGCTAAATTTCACCAGGTTTCTTCGCAGCAGAAAACGACTCGAAATGAAAATGAATTGAATATTCGGGCACAGTTTGCCAAGTCCCCTGAAAAATAATTTTATCTGACTTTATTACATTGTGGTCATTTCTTGAATGCCATAAAATGCTGAGTGGAATAATAAAAATTGATAAGTATATTGACATTTCAGTTTTCTAAATAGAAACAGAGAAAATGTAAACAGAATTTGATCTTTGCAACTCTTCCGACCAACCATTCATAGGCTGCCTAATTCACCTACTCTCAAAAACCTTACTCAGCCCTAATATAAATGTCTTCTGAAATAATTTCTCACCAGTAGATTATGCACATCTTTAGTTTGATTCAGAATTTACATGTGTAGTTTGCATATTTTTGCATCAGAGTGTCTGCTTTAAATTAGGAAAAGGTCACTGTCATTCATAATCAAGGAGAAGGTGGATTAAAGGTCACAATTCAATAAAAAAGAACTGATTAGATGTAGAGGTTTGTTCATGTGATTCAGTATCATTGGATAACTGGAAATCATGAGTCAACAAATTAGCCTCAGGACAAAGGGTGACTCACACGATTTTGACCAGAAATAAAATTCACACATTTTCCCCTCTCTGTGTAACATGTTTGTCTCTATGTGGAAGTGACAGTTACTTCAGCAAGCACTTTCACCAATGGTTGTCTTTTATAATGTCATTTGGTTTTCAGAAGGATATAAATGACAATTCTATTTCCAAAAGTAAAGTAGTAAGTTATAATGAATTAATAATAGTCGGATGTGAACTGCCAATCCCTAAAGGCCTGTGCTTATATCAAGTATTCTTTTTTTTCCCCTAGGAAGTCCCCAGTTCTTCCATCCCTTTTAAGGAATGGAGCTGTCACAGCAAATTTCTTTCTTACATAAGTATTTTATACTTCTCATGGACACTTACAAGCTCCTATAAACTCTTCAGAATCTTGACATCTACTCTGGATTTGTCTGTGATTAGAAATGCAGCAATCCAAAATAAATGTGGCTAGTGGCAGGCAATTAATATTTTTCAAATCATTGAACTTCTTAAGGTATGCTGGAAAATGACTTGACTTGAATTTCTGTCATTTCCAAAAGTCTGATTTTCTAATCTTCTAATTTTTTTTTCATTTTCAGAAGTGGTTTGTCTCATAAAGAGAAATATTTTCTCCCATTTGTTGCTTGTCTCCTCTATTTGTTGGCATCTTAACAGAGGATCAGAGAGAAAAAGAGATAAAGAAAGAAAGAGAAGGATAGAGAGAGACAGAGAGACAGACACAGAAGCACTAGCTTTTTAGGGTTGATTGTTTATTTTTCCAAAGAAAATCAAACCTTTTTAAAGGAACTATAAAGGTTAAATGGTTTAAGGAGATTATAATTAGTTAATTTTGTTAAACATATACTGGATCAATTCTACATTATTTTAATTACTTTTTTGGAATAAATGGTTTGGTGAACAAATTCACTTGATGTTCAGGATCAAACACAATTACCTTTCCTCTGGGTAGGCTTAAGTTTCACAAAATGATTTGGAAATGACCTCCTTCGCTTTCATCTAAAAATATCTTTGGATTTAGAAAATGATTAAAGTTGGATATATTGTGTTTTAAACCAATCATATTTTATCATTTTCATAGCTTATTCTTTCTTTAAAGTGGATTGTAATGAAACTTCCCTGGACAGATGTTTCTCCTTTAAGGAGAATGATGGAATTCCTGCAGTAAGATTGATTCAACTTTTATTTCTGCTAGAAGATGTATATTGTATTCTAATAAGTTTATGAAAGTTTTTGTTTCTGACATGACATAGAAATAAAGCTAGATCATCATTACCCATCATGGCAAGTCAGAGATATTCTGATTTATGTCTCCACAGCATGTGTGTGTGTACTATAAGTAAACAATCTCTGAATCATAAACACCAGTTCCCAAGACATTAGGTGACACACAAAAAAGCAGTGTAACTGTCTCCCCCTTACCTCCATTTAAGGCATCTAAAAGGCAATGCTGAGATAGTACAGATATAATTTGCCCCTTTCTTGCGTCAGAGGTGGTAGTGTAGAGTGAGCATATTGTTCCAGTGCCTGGTGATACCGTCTTTTTGCTTATGGCGGTGATTTTCAATTAAGGTAGATTTTGCTTCCCAGGAGACATTTGGTAATATTTAGAGGCATTTCTGGCTTAGATTGGAGATGGATGGTGCCAATGCTATGGGCATTTAGTGAAGGTCAGGCGCGCCGCTAAACATTCTAAAATGCCCTACACAGCCCCACTACAAGGACTTATTCTGTCCAAAACTTTTAGTAGTATTGAGGGGAATAAAAAGGCTACCACTCAGGAAAGGGGATAAATAATCCTTCATTCTCTGAATCAATTTTACACTATCTCTCTCTACCCCAGATCCATATCAGCCCACTTGCATGTGGGTAAATCCTCTTCATCCCTCAGAACTCCCTGGGTGCCTATCCCCTCATGTAGGAAAGCTCCTCTCACACACCCCTGGAGCACCCTCCCACTCCTTTGTTTCACCCCACCATTGCATCCTTCTGAGGTCTAATGATTGATCTGTTTTTCTCTGTCTCACACCAGACTGTAAGTCTCCTGGGAACTGTGCTTTGTATTGCTAACATCTCAAATAGTTTCCAATGATACACTGTAATAACTGTCCTATTAAGATTTGTTGTTGAGTGAAGTCAAGTTTATCTCTAGAAACAACCGTGCACAAGGTATAGAATGTAGCTTAAATAACACTCAAGATATTTTTTAGGTATTGTGGATTAAATACATAAATTTCAGTTG